GGAGGCGGGAGCGAGTAGGGCGTTGGGTAGTAGCCTATTCTACATTTTTGTTCTTCTCAAGGTGAGATTATGGTGCATAAACGGCGGTAGACAGACATTAAACGGTCACGGCTCGCGACCTTTAACTTTAACGACGGATTCTCCGCAACACCGGCCTCGGATGTGCCGACGTGGACAGTGACCGGCCACTGCTACAACTACATGTACAACAACCACCGCCGCTTCCACAAAAACTACTTCTTGGGTACGCGGAGAATCAGCGAAGCGTAGCCAGTTTGTGATCCAACCGCTGCATTATTGTAATATTGTGATCGAGACCGCGGCTCGTCGTAGTACGTAGGGCAGGGGGCTACGCCCAATCCACGTTCCTTTTTTTTAAATTTCATTTTTTTAAATGTACTTTTTTAATGTATCTATTATTTTTTGTTATTTTATTTTATTTTATTTTATTGGAAAGGCATACCGATTTCAGCGTTATTGCAGCTGCAATAGCAGCAGTACCACCACCGCCAGCAGCAGCAGCACGTAACTGACGTAATAGTATCACCAACAGCAACATCAACTATAACAACAACAATAACAACTGCTGCTACAGCAATAACAACGATAGCAAAAGCATATGCAGCACCATCGTTAGCGATAGCACATATTATACAACAACATCATTAGTAATAGCAATAGCATATACCACAACATCATTAGCAATAGCAATAGCATAATCATCGTTGGTAATAGCAATGAACTACATTATCATTAGCAATAGCATTATAGCATATTCCACAATATCCTATTAGCAATGGCATATACAACACCATTAGTAATAGCATATTTATACAACAGCTGCAATAACAACAACATCAATAACAACACTAACAGTAACAACAACAGTAACAACAATAACAACAACACCCATTCGAGGGTGCGGTTGGCCGCGTAGCTTGTACCGGAAACCGTTTATAGCCATAACACGTTCCGTCAAGTTGACACCCCGGCCAGGGGCGTGGGTGGGGG